AAAAAAAAAAAAAAAACAAACAAAAAATAGTGGAGAATTCTATTGATATTAACATCCACGGAGGATTGTTTAACGTCCTTCTTGGGCGTGTAGTAGTTTTAAAATCTGGTTCTGCAACATTTTCTCTACTTAAGAAGTAAATAAATTAAGAAACAAAAGAGCAGTTGGGTCTGAGGTTTAGCCTCACATCATACATACCTTACATTTATTCAGTTTAATAATTATTTGAATTCATTTTTTTATGTGTGTGAATATTTGTGGTTTGTTTGTCTCTCCCAAAATATCTTGGATCCTACTCGTGTTGATGAGGAGGAAATGCTGACACTTATGATGTGACAGGTATCCAGCTTCTTAATGCCATTAAAGTTGCACTTTTATTATGGAGGTCCGAGGCTGTTTAAGCTTTTAACCCTGCATCTCCTCCTCATGTTGGTTTTCCTTTATATTGTACATGGAAGCTCAAGTTTTACTTACATTTGAATGGGAAATTTTCTCATGTTACTATTGAATCTTTAGAGCAAGCATATCAGCGTGTTGTAATTTTGAAACAAAAACATAAGTCAGTATGATAGATATTTCATTTGAGAAAAATCTAGTTTATCTGATTATTATTTTTGTTGTGTTATTATTATGTTGTTTTCTGAAGAACCAGTTTGATTTTTAACAAGGTACTTGAGTGAAGAATTTGATTGAGGTAATCGAAATGGAGAATAAAAATTCAGGAAAAGATAATGTTGGAGGTGTTATAAGTTAGGTAGAGCTCAGGTGTACATTGGGGCTTCTTGTCGTCTTTGTTCCACAAGGCTTGGAGATTGGAGTTTTGGTTGATTTGGTGGAGAAAGTTAGGGTGTTAGGGTCCCTTTATGGAGTCATCCTCATCCGGTTCATTGAAGAGGGCTAGAGCACCTGGAAGTGGGAACCAGGTACCTTCCTGCTTGGTTGATGGATGCACAGCAGACCTCAGCAAGTGCAGGGATTATCATCGACGCCATAAAGTATGTGAGGTTCACTCTAAGACCCCAAAGGTCACAATTAGGGGTCAGGAACAACGATTTTGCCAGCAATGCAGCAGGTAAGTGATAGTCCCTTGCCAGTTAACAGCTTGCATTTTGATTTTTTCTTACCCCAGCTCCATAATAGTCAAGAAAAGGTTTTATAGTATAAAAAGAATGAATTGTGCTGCTCCCATTATATGGTCAGAATAATTTGGCCTTTTGAGCACGGACAGTTTCTTTGCTAGGGAATTTCTGGTAGCAATTTCACCTAGCAGATGCCTAATGCCACAAACACATCTGGCTGCATTCATGAGTGTGCTTGTTTGTGTTATGTTTGTGTCTCTGTAATCAACTGTTCCATATGGTTATGGGTTTATTCATCAAATTTAATATTACTTGTTCTTCAACTAACTTTGATCAGTCATGGGGGCAAAACTGCCCTGGATAAATATTGAAGATCCAGTCATTGATTGCAAGAAGTGATTTTAATTCCAAAATGTATATTTCAACTTGACCAATGCTCTTTATGTGCATATCTGTCTTTCAAGTGCATGTGAACTCTACCTGTTATCTGATAGTCCCAATTACAGTGCAGTGGAGACAGATATATGTGGTTAACACTTGAATGATAGGGCATCCTTTGTGACATAAAACAGTCGTCATGGTTTCTAAAGCATTGAGTTGTTTAGAATTGTCATAACAGCTGAATCTATCTCAGAAACCCCTAAAACTATATTATTGGCCTCAGCTTGCTTAAACCGTATAAGATTTTCTTTGAGATGAAGTATGCATCATTTGGACCAAGTTGTGTGAAGTAAATGTTTTAGTTGTATTTGTTAAACATAAAGGTTTGTTTTTCTTGATCACGTTTCATTAGGTTTCATTCATTGGTGGAGTTTGACGAGGGCAAGAGAAGCTGCAGGAAACGTCTTGATGGACATAACAGGCGTAGGAGGAAGCCACGACCAGATTCTCTGTCAATAACTTCTGGAGGTTTGAATATCGACACTAATTGTTTCTTTTTAATCAAATTTGATCATTGCTTACTCATTGGAATTTCCTTTTCAATACAAAAAATTTGGACATATTTAAGCAATATTCAATATGCTTATATACTCTTCCATGCATTTTGCATATGTGGAACACATTTCATATTTGCTCTGGTTGATTGATGTAAATGAGACTCATATGTTGCAGGTCCTAGGTTTGTACCACTCAATAGGCCTCATATATTTTCAACTACGGCCCTAACCTCTGCCTGGGTTGGGACAATCAAAGCAGAAACCAATATGCATTCAGAGTTAAACTTCAGCAGCAGAAATAACCTGTTTCCGGGATCTTCATCTCACAACTACAAAGGAGAAAAGCAGTTCCCATTCTTACACCCCAGTTCCACTCTCACTGCAGTTTCTGCTTGCCAACCCTTTCTTGATCCTAATTCCTCACCAGGCAATGGTGGCAGCAGCCGGAGAATGTTCTCTACAGGGTTAAACCAAGTAATCAATTCGAATCGTGCTCTCTCTCTTCTGTCATCTCCACCGACTGAGACTCGGGAGATTGGTTTGAGCTCCATGGGGCATCCTGACCAACAACAATCCCTGATCCCAAATTTGCATTACAATGGGCTGGGAATGGAAGGTGAGCAAGTAGGATCATTTCTATCCTTTGACGGAAGTACTTCTAATACCAACCTTCATCCCCATGGACCGGATTTGTTCCGGTCCCAGCATCACGGATCCTCTGCCACTAGTACTCACCAAACCCTCTCATTCTCATGGAAGTAGCCTGCAGCCATTTCCTGCTCACTCCAATCAAATACTCATTTCCTTTGTCCTTCAAATTAGAGGCGATGCTTCTGTTTTACAATGCAAATGTATGAATAATTTGTAGCCATCGATGGAGTCTCCGACCCTGTTGTTACATGTATGAATCGGAATACTTTTCCGGCAAGCTTAAATCTTGAAATGCTTATTCCTGTGATGCCTGGTTATTTGTATCTGGGAAGAGCGATTTGCCCGTCTTTCCATTAAGGACCAAGCCTTTGTTTGGATTAAAGGTGTGGGAGGGGCAGAACCGAGGAGAGGTGTGTTTGGATAAAATTGTTAATGGAGATAAAGAAAGGAAGCTAGATGGAAGAGGATTAAAGGCAAAAGCCTACTTTAACCTCTCACCTTATTAAATTTAAAAGTTTTACCTTCTCATCTTATATTACGATACTTTTAACTTTTCACCTTATTAGATTTATAGATTTTAGTTTTTTAATTTATACTATAATACTTTTAGTCTTTCACCTATTAAAATTAAAGAAAATAGTCCTCATTTTGTAACATTTTATTAGTTTCGTTAATTAATTATTAACTCTATTAGTTGACTGTTAATTGATTGTTAGTTAATAAAATTTTTTTTAACTAACAGAGTTAATAGAATTAATTTTATAATATTTCGTTAATTCTATTAATTCACTATTAGTTGACTGTTGATTGACAAAAACATACTTTCAGTTAATAGAGTTAACAATTAGTATAAAATAAGAGTTATTTTCTTCAATTTTAATAGCTGAGGGGCTACAACCTTCAAATTTGATAAAGTAAGGGGTTACAAATAGGTTTTTGCCAGAACTAAACCTCTTCAAATCTCTTGTTTTCTCATTCCTTTGATTCAATTCAAGGGAATTAGAAGGGTCTTTCTAAGACAGCAATGGCAAATTTTCTTCCAACAAGATCAGTATCCGCCATTTTTGTAAAAATTAATTGATAGAGAAAACCATAATCAAGGAGTAACTGTGGAGTTAACTCAATGATTTCCCCTTTGTATAAAAACTGGATGGGTTCATAGGAGGATAGATCTAAAGAAGCTCTGCAAATGCTATAGACGAGTTGACATTGACAGTCATACCTATCCAGTGGAATCCTATCTGCAGTTTCTCCCTCACACCTATTACACCTTTTGAGTTTTCCTTCTGTAGCAGAATAATAGGTGTCCCATGAGAAGCCTATACCAGATCGGTTAATACCATCTTCAGCTATTTGTTGAAGGAATTGTTGAATTGCCTTCAATCTAGCATGGCCTAAAGCTTCTGCTTTCTGAAAAATTAGCTGTCTTGAATCATCTGGCAGCTCGGGTAAGGGAACTCGTGGATTGTAATACATCCTGAGTTGCCTCTGAGTGTCATCCACTAATGGAATAGATGTAGAAGTTGAGGAGGATCCTTCGATTAAATATTGATTAATTCCCAGTGGGGGAACTAATTGTCTTCCACCCGCCAGTGGGGCTAAGGTGGTCTTCACGATTTCTCCTAAAGGTTCCTGCAAATCTGGAGAAAGATGAGGGCTAATGAAAAAGCTGTCTCCAAGACACTGTTGAGCAAATTGGATAGCTTCTTCAATTAGATAAAACCCTTTATAGAGTGGTTTTCTAAAATCTCGTATTTGGAACAAGATCTCATCCCAC